CGCCCCATGCTGGACCTCGAGGCCCAGCCTCTCGGGTCCGATCCGGGCACCCGGCCCTGGCCCGATCTGTTTGACGCTGCATCCAGCAGCTCTTCTTGGGGGGGATCCAGACACCCCAAGCTTTGGTCACGTCACCCATCCTTTGAGGCTGCAGCAATGAAGAGATTTAACCCTTGAGAACAAAACCAGGGCGTTTTCCTCAGCCTGAGTGTCCTTGCATGATGCTTTTTAATCCCTAATTTATTTGCAAATATGTGTGGGCAATTCCCCCAAACCTGATGAACCGAGAGCTGTTCACACGCAGCTCCCTATCTCTGCACATCCTGCTCCGAACTGGTTTCTGAAGCCTCCAGCGACCGCACCGGCTCAGCCCTGGCGTCCCCGAACCACAGCTGATCACACGGTGCAGCTTGAATTTCTCCCGGTCATCCCGGTTTCCCAGCCAGCCTGCCAGCTGCAGCGGGGATCCGGGTCCCAATCAAAAAGGCGACCCCAAATTTGTCATCGCTGCAAATTCAAAGGCTCCATGCACATCTGAAACTCCCAGCTCAGGCAGCGCCTGGAAACCTCGAGCATGAACTCGGACTTTGTTGTTTTATTAAGAAGAGCTGTGCCAGATCCTGCTCAGCCGCAGCCAGATGAGACACGAGGCAGATAGATTTGCAGCCCTTTATTCGCTACAGGAGATTTGGAGACTCACTCATCGCCATACACGGGTCCAAGAGAGGATAAGGTGTTGCAGGGACAAATTATCCCACGGGCGATGCTCAGCATGCCTAGGCTGACAGGGCAAAGCCAACTCTGTTGTTGGCCAGGTCGAAGATGGAATAATACTGCCGGAGGAAGAGGTTGCCGAGGATCCAGAGCGGCTGGCCGCTGGCAGAGGGCACGTACGTGCTCTCGACCCCGATGGTGCAGACGCCGTCGTTCTGTCGGGGGGAAACGGAGCAAATTTCAGTGCCAGTGAGGAGTGCGGGGGATTTGTGCTGCCTGCGCCTTCGTGGCTGCTTTGGCTGGGAGCAGGATTAGACCCTCCGTACAGTCACATACAGGCATGCAAAAGCACCGTGAAATCGGGTGCTGGGAAATACGGCGCTCAGGCTGCCGGACGCCTCTGTGTTTGAAAAGAAACTCTGACTTTCTCCTGGGCAAAACTGCCCTGCGATGGCAAACGCGTGTTGGGAACGATAAAATCACACCTACGTTTAAGACGTAGACAGAGGGAGGCAGCGGTAACTGGGCTCCGCTGATGGCGAAGTAGAGGGTGGGCATGCTCGGGACGTTGCTGCAGTTGACGACAAACTGCAAAAGAAGCAGAGAGGGGCAGAGGGATCAGGACCCCCGGGGCTGGGCACCGTCCTTCCTCCGGCTGTAACCCCGGCCACGCTCCCTAAGGGTCAGCACAGCTCCGGCTGTGGCAGGGCTGTGCTGACCCGGGTTTATCATGCTTGGAAGAATTATTTTTGGTTTACACCACTGCAAGGAGAGAGATACACCATTGCAGTGTTGTTTCAGGTGAGATGTTTTGCTCCAGAGATGCCGGGAGCCCTCCATAGCTCAGCATTACCACCCAGATGTGTCCTCATCCCACGGCATCAGCCCCTCGTGCGTGCAGGGCATCCTTCCCACCTACCCCGTAGTCACTCTCCTCCACACCCAGTGCCTGCAGAAAGGCTGACATGAATTGTCCCGGGACAGTCAGAAGGAACGTCCCGGTGTCCACAATGCCGTGACAGCCTTGGCTGCACCAGCCGGTGGCTGACAGCCCGATGGTGAACCTGGAGAGAACAGCAGAAAAGGCATCGGAAAAGGCTCCCCCCGCTCCAAGACCCACTCCGAGCCGCGGTGCAGCACTTACTCCTCGATACCAATTTTCCAGTACAATTCCTGGACCACAGGAGCCCATAAAACCTCCCCGGAGTACAGCTGGGGGTCAACCCCTCCGAGGATGACTTCCCCACCGTAACTGTATGTCGGGTTGCTGGAAAGACACAAAATTAAACCCCAGATCAGGCAGGCTGCTCAGCAGAAAGCGATGTAGCATACAGGTGTGTGGGGAGAACGTGTGGATGGAGAGTGAAGGAAGGAAAGGGTGGATCCAGGCTGTGTCTATGCAAGAGAGAGACCCGCTGTCAGAGGTCTCACCGTGAGTAATAGAAGCTGAAGATGGGTTCGGCGAGCTGGCTCTGCTGCAGCATGTTCTGCATCAGCGTGTTGTAACCGCCGATGCCAACGCCCGGGTAAGCCATGCCCAAAATCCCATCGAATTCCAGGTAGTAAAAGGGTCTGCTGGGCTCATCCAGGCTCAGGCCGAACTCCTGGTTCCTGATGACGATGTTCTGGATCTAGAGGGAGAGGAAAGATGCTGGGAGACGTCGGCGTTTTGGAAATCCCCCTTGACAGCAACATCCCACCAGGGAGTTTCTGGGGAGAGGCAGGGGCGGCCAGGAACATCACGAAGGTAAATCTGCACTGAGGGGTGCTGAGCTCTTCCCCATCGCAGACGGGAGATGGAGTCGGGAGCAGCCTGGCTCATAGTCTTTGTCCCATCTCCCGTATTATTTCATAAAAATACTGACAAAACCCGTCTGCCTCAGTTAAATTAGTTTAAAATCACACTTTCACTGCATGCAAGTCTCGCAACAGAACATTTCTTATGTCCCGTAATGACGAAGCTCAGCCATCAGTGTAAAAAGCACTTACGGCCAAAGATATCCCTTAGCCCAAAGCAGTGACGAAAAGCCCAGAGGACTCGGACTGAGTTTGTTTGCAGATCCCAGTCTCCGAGTAAATTTATGCTGACAAGACATAAACTCTACATGGGAGATTCAGGCACTAATATCCAAAATAAGAAGGTACTTTCAGCTACCCCCTAAGTTTTTAACCGAATTGGACTGATCACAAGCGCGGTCGCTTCTTACCCTGATTGCAGCAACGCGCCAACACATCAGAAGTCACTTACCGTCACGGTGTCATACCCTAAAGCCACCGACAGGTCACCGAACCCGTAGCTCAGGGTGTAAGTCACTCCGATGCCCGAGAAGGTGGATGACAGGCTGTGGTTGAACGTGGCATGATTTACTGCACGGAGAGAAGGTCACAGCCCCTGGGTCACATCCTGCCCTCGGTTCATTTTTTTTTCCACACGGGCGGAAATCTCCAGCAAGGGGCTTCCCAGGGAAGGGGCCATCCAAAACCAGCCCCGCCGGTGCCACCGAGCGGAGAGCAAACACCAAACCCCGTCGGCTCTCACTGATTTCCCTCTCGTAGCACCAGCCCGCAGCGTGCAAGGGATGTCCAAGAATACCGATGGGTGGGGAGCCCCGGCCCCCCTGCACTGCTGTGTCCCCCGAGGGATGCTCACCACAGGCTGGAGTCTGGCAGTAGGTGGAGGGCACCCACAGGTTGGAGGAACCGGTGTCGAAGAGCATCAGGAAATTTTGCGGGGGGGTCCCGATGCTGATCTCCCCGAAGTAGAAGGACTGTGAACAAGAGCGTGGGCGGATTTCTGTTTCTGCCTGTTTTTTTGAATGAGGCTTTTCAGCTCTCTGCCCTCTGCTAGCTGAGAAACCCAAACCATTACGGCGCTGTAGGAAGGGCTCGTAGTCCCTGAGTGCATCCAGGGCAGCTAAAGCACAGAAAGGGGGAATGATTTGCCTACAACATAACAAAGTCAGCATCAAGGCCAGGAGTAGTAGATCTGCCCTATAACCATCAAACTCTCCTTTTTCTGAGAAGGGAAATCAATTCAGGATAAGACGTGCTGCCTCCTGCCTTCGTCTCCCAACATCACCCAGCCCTCGGAGCCGGGCTACAAAGACAGCAAAACTCCTGCCCGCGCCCAGCGCAGCCCCTCGACTCGTGAGCAGGGAGGGAGCTGAGCCACCCGCTGCAGAGCTTCCCGCAGGCAGCCGGGAGAGGAGGAGGGCATCCCCGAAAACCGGAGCCGGGTGGCTCAGGGGAGGAAAGAAAAGCTTTAAATACTTACATCCAGGTAGTTCGTTAGCGGTTCATAAGCCACAGTGTTATTGAGCTGGTATTTCCTACCGGGGTCCCCTTTGAGTTGCTTCAGGAAATCCTCCAGCACCCCCTTCTCTCTCATCACCTCCCGCATGGACCTGCCTTTCTTCAGGGTGATCCTGCGCAGGACGGAGACGGCAGCGAGATGCTGAGCAGCCGGGCGGCCCCCTCCACGTGTGCACCCCCATGTGCCGAGGGCGAGCCCCGCTCCGCAGCCGCATCCTGCACCCTCGCACCCATCCCGCCCCGGGGCTCACCTCACCGTCCCCTCCCCAGGCCAGAGGCAGAGCAGGGCCAGCACCAGCCACCGCATGGCCCCGGGTGCTGGTGGCTCCGTGGCAGCTCCTGCACCACCTCAGCCAGGACAGGGAGTATATAGCCAGGAGCTGTGCCAGCCCCTGCCTCCAGACACCCCTTTCTTCTATCACGGCACCCACCCAACGCCAACGCCAACGCTTGCGGTGTATTTATCACCGCAGCTGCCCTGATTATGCCTCCTTACCTGGCCGTTTGGGCGCCAACAGATTGGCCAGTACCTCTGATACCGAGACCAAATATGTGACATTTGATAAAAAGCAAAATTCTGTTGTTATTGAGAAGTTAAAGTACTTTCCTTTGCCTTCAGCACCAGCTTGATCTTCCAGAAAACAAAAGCAAAACACACCCTTTGCAGCAAATAGAAATTATGATGCTGATATTCCTCTTTTGACTCATGCAGGCAGCCAAGGAAGTGCCATGGGCCAGCAGTATTTCTTCCATCCAAGTCTACAGACTGTTACATCCAATTCCCTCAACACAGCTAGCAGGAAAGAGCAGGGGTGGTTTTTCAGCCCAGCTCCAAGACTCCTGGGAACCAGCACGTACCCCCAAAGATGTCTCTCTTGCCAGGTATTTGCCCTTTTGTCATCCTGCCCCTTCTGCCCTCCAGCTCTGCTAATACACCCCAAAGAAGCTGAGATGGGGGCTAGAAACTGCTCGGTGTAGGAGCCCCGAAAGACGTAACAGGCCTTTACCTGCCCAGTTACAACCACTCAACCATCTCCAAAAGAGGCTTTCATTTGCTGCAGTTTATTGTTCGTGTCAGAGTTACGCCGAGGATGCTCAGGTCACACGTCTGGTGCGTCAGAGGTGATGTCTCCCATATGCTTTGAGCGATGCTGGTCATACCCAGGCTGGAGAGATGCAGGGGAGCGTGTATTTAGGCACTCATTCACAGGGGAGTTTTAGTCCCGGGAGACCCTTTCCTCCCCTGGGAAGATGCTACCAGCCAGCCAGCCCTGCCAGGCCCCACCAGGTCACTGAGGACCCATCCTGGCATCTGCTACCCCGAGGATGCTGCTCAGCCTCGTACTCTGAAGCCTGGGCACTTACCACCTGCGGAAACTCTGCCATGTGCTGCCGGGGAACAGTGGTTGTCCCAATGTCCCCATCACCCTGGCAGCCTCATCTGCGCTGGGCCGGTGGCCTCATCTCCCACGGAAAAAACTGAGGAGACAAACATGGGAGGTTTTCTGTGCAAAGCTCTCAGCAAAGGAGCCCCAGCTGGACCAAAAGCCCGAGGCTGCTCGGACCCCTCTGCTTGGGGAACGTGATGCTGGGTCAGCTCCACCTTAACCACGTGCTTTAACGTGTATTGCTTCGAGCACCCGCCACATGCTGCGGTTCTGCTTCCATTTCGCTGGGACCAAACCCTTTGTCCAGATCTGAATTTGTCCCACGGGGGTCACCAACATGCCGCACCTCAGGGAGCAGGCAGAAGGGGGGCCAGTGCAGCTCTCCCCGGGGTTGAGCGGGAACAGCCCTGCTGTTTTTTGCTGTAGGGCACTTGCAGACTCCCCAGTCCCCGCTAACAGTGGGGACGGACCCCAGCAGAGCCTTGCTGCTCCTGTCTGAGCTGTTGGCGTTGGACCGGTGCTTCGAGCCTGCGGTGGCTCAGAAAACCCCTGGCACCCCCTCCTCCTCATCATCCTGATGGATCTGCCTTTGCTCCGATGGATCCTGCAGGGAGCAAAGGGAAGAGCAAAGACCAGCAGGGACACGGTCAGCCGTCGCCTGTCCCTTCTTGCCACGGCTGCTGCCAGAGCAGCTTCAGCTCTCAGAAACCTCCCCGTTTTATAGGGGAGGAGAAATGCCCTTCCCCGCTATCCGCGCCTATCTAATCTCCGTCTCGCTGCACTCAGCCTGTGTCAATATTTTGACACAAAGCACAGAGGAGTTTTTGTCCTTTCTCTGGTGAAATGACAGAGCTATTAATATATCTGATAATGAGCTCCAACGATAAAGAGCTTCTAAGAAACAAGTTTGGATCCCGGGAAAGAGCGGTGTTACCCAAGCCTCTCCCAGCCAAGGCATTCCCCATCCCCTTCGGCCACAGACCATGATTCCTGATACACTAGCTGTTGTTTTACCTGACTGAATAGCCCCGCTTCAGGATTTAGGGGTCATTTGGATGTCATGGCTAACCTAATCTGGCCTCATATTCCCACTCTGACTTAGTCACAGGACTTTGTTAAACCTTATCCAGCTGCAAGGAAGATTAGTGGCTTTCCACATGCACCTCTGACGAGATTTCCCAACGCCCAGCAAGAGGGACAGAGGAGGGGACCGACCGGCCCCGCAGCTTTACCTGCGGCTGGACGGAGCTATCAGTTCAGCCCTGCAAGTGCCAGCAGCAGCAAAAGACAGGACAGCGTGTCCCCGCGGTCATTCCAAGGTCACCACAAACTGCAAGCAAAGCAACGTCCACCGCCACCGGCTAACTCTGTATCTGCCCGAGTAGGTGCTGGTGAGCATCCCCCTGAAGTGACATAGTGCAGTGCGGCAGCAAGCGGCAGCTGGAGGAGGATGAAGCCGTATCGCCCCGTTAGGAACACGCACGGCGTTTCCAGACACGCACCAGTGCCTGATGGCACAGAGCAGAACTGGCTTTTTGGGGAATCCCTCAGGGAACTCCCGTCCCCGGCGCTGTGGTTGGTGTTTAAGACCAACCCCAGTGACCTTTTGCTGTCCCGATCCCCTGCGCCGCAGCCTGGTGCGCGGTGCTTCTCACCTGCAAAGCAAAGCCCTTACAGGAATCAGGTTCAGGATCCTTGTTCTGGGCTTGTCCCTCATTGAGGACAAGGAGGACAGGAGGTGGGTGCAGCCAGGCCCAAAGGCAGCAGCTGGGATTTGGGGGACGGCAGCTGCCTGCTTTCCAACGCCCAAAGTCTGCAGCCCCCAGCTGAGTCGCACAAGCCTTGCAGAGGGGACGGGGCTGGGCTGTGGGACACCTTCGTACCCAAGGGCTCGGGCGAGACGGGCTGCACCGTCTGGAGGAGCTACCCCGGGCACCACTGCGTGGAAGGACTGCTCGCTCCCATCCCTGCGCCCATCAGGCTGTGAGCTGAGCTGCAGCTCGGAGCCTGCTGCGTTCATCAGAGCCACCCCCAAGCTTAATAATTCACTATAGATAAAGGCTGAGACTCAGTCCCACAGTCATTAGGAGTCGATAGCATGTCATACCCCTTTGCAAGAAACATAAATACATCAACTTTAGATTTGAAGCAGCCCAGGGACAGCTTCCCCACCGCTTTCCCCGTGCTGACTCTGAGGAAATCTGCCTAGGAGTTTATCACGGCGTTTACCTCGCTAGAGAAAGAGCGGCTGAGACACGCAACCCGTCAGTCTGCGCTCAGTCGTCACTCAGCAAACTCAGAAGGTCAGAGACGATTTGGGATATTGGGGTTTATTTGCAACAGGAGACTGTGAGAACACACTTACACAGAAATCCCGGAGGGACAGGGAGCCGTGCAGACACGTAGAGGAACATAAAGGTCCACAGGAACCCCACGGAACCCCACCTCCAGCAATGCTGGCTAAGGTGTGTTCGGCCAGGAGAGGGGCTGGATTTCACTGCTCCACTCCTCTACGCTGACGGGGCGAAGCCAACACGGTTGTTGGCCATGTCAAAGACAGTGTAATACTCCTTGAGGAAGACGTCACCCAAGATCCAGAGCGGCTGCCCGTTCTGGGAAGGCAGGTAGGTGGCCTCAATCCCAAGAGTGCAGTAGCCGTTTTTCTGTAAGGGGGGAATAATGGGGGTTCAGAGCCTCCAACAAGCAGCAGGACCCTGCCAGCTGGGCTGCAGGGAGGGAGAGCATCGCTACTTGTTAAGAAGCACCAGCTCCTTTCCCAGCCCTCAAGGACTCAGCAGGATGAAGCTGCTCAGCTAATACATACGTTCAAGACGTAGGCAGAAGGGTAGAGTGGGAGCTGAGCTCCGTTGATGACGAAGGTGATGGTGGGCATGTTCTGGATCTCATTGCAGTCAACTGCATACTGCTGAGAGAGGGTGAAGAGGAGGTTACGGCTGGAACAGCACCGACTGTGAGAGGAGAGATACCCCGCTATGTGGGGGTAACACACACTTTATCCCCTGGAAGGGCCACATCACCTCCCTGACATGCCTGCAGCACCATGTTCCCTAGATGCCACGTGAGTTTTGCAGGATCTGGTCAAGCCCATGGCTTCTGGCTCACTTGCAAGCCTCACCGCTGCTCCGTGCGCACCTCCAAACCATCCCCTGCACTTACACCATAGCTGGTCAGCTGGGCACCCAGGGCCTGAAGGAGGCTGCCCATGTACTCCTGGGG